AGGCAAACAGTTTTTGTTGGCCGCTTCTTTCAGCGGCTTGGCAAGTAGGTGTGAAGCGTACAACAGTTATACTCTCTCCGGTTCTTATTAAGAAGCAGGCCAATTATACGTCATTAAGAGGCCTTGATCCGCTCACCACTAAGCTGTCATTACAAGGCTCTGAGCTGGCTATTTTTTTTTTAGAACCTCTAGTCATGGTTAGGTATATTCGAGAGGGAAAAAAAACACGACCGCTAAACGAAAGTTGTACAATTACGAGAAGGGATCTCGAACACTGACTGTCGGGACACTATTTGTTTGTTTCGTTAAATGTAACGGGAAAAAATGAGTTTTTCCAAGAAAACTGTGGAAATAAATTGTTTGTTTTGTTCTTTTCATGTATTCACGTATCAGGCAAAGTACTTTGCCAACGCGAAGGTATTTTCTTTCTAATTTTGAAAGTACAGTGCCTTAACAAAAACAAGCAAATTAACAGGTTAAAGCGTTGACTCTATGGAGGACTGCCGAGTTTCAACTTCCATCTGAAACTCCATTAAACAGTTGCTACAAAACGGAGTACCTCGAGAGAGTTCTAAAATACACAGTTCGATAAAATTATCAGCGAGCGCAGTTCAACCTCTTGGGGAAAAGAAAAGGGAATTCCCCGGTTTAATTTTAGTGCGTGCCAACACTCCTTCTACATAAATCACGCCAAAATGAAACTTGACTGCTATGTCATTCCAAATAAGCGAATAGACGTTTACAGGTATAAACAAAAACGTCCTAAATCCGAAATTCCGAAGAAAGCAGGATATAGAGTCGGAAGATTTTTGTAAGAATTGTAAGACATGAATACAAACAAACAAAATGTATACTTCTGTCAGGGTCAGACTTGATAGACAAACACCGATGATACATTATTAATCACTACGTGTCACTTTGTTTTGTAATGTTGGGCAATCGCTGAAGCTACCGGTTGGCCGCGGAAAGCAGGCCAAAGGAGCCTGGAATTCAGCGCTTCACGTTGTGATCGTACTTGAAGCGTGAGCGGTGTCCAAAGGGATGAGAAGACAAGGCAAGGCACATCTTGCCGAATGAAAAGGGCGACTTTCTCAGATGTGAAAACCGCTTTTCACATTGACATATAAGCCACTAATCACAATCCCTTATTCAATGAAAAAAACTCTGCTGAGTCATCGACAGGTATTAGCGCGGGGCCTTGATCTGCCGGCCAATAGTGTCCACTTTCTGCTGGGATAGTTCGCTCTCACTCATGGCTAGTGTTAGCGATACTGTCACAAGTTCAGTCGTAAGTCCAGTCCCAGATAACAGCGGAGAATTGCCAAGCATGGGCGTGCCCCCTGGGAAAATATAAAAAGTAAGAAGGGGGACGAGCGAACAAGCGGAAGAAAGGAAAAAATAAAAGATGAACGGGGGTGAAAATCCTCAATTTGCTTTGAAAGAAACTTCAATATGGCCCCTTCTTCTGATCATTCCGTTGGTGATGCTCCGAAGTTTTCCCGGGGAAAACAGTGCCCCCCCCGAAAAACTCCTGACGACGCCCATGCTGCATGCCAAGGCAGTTCATTTGAACAGCTTGCGACTTGAGCTGTCATCGGACGACTGTTTGAACTTGATGTGACCATACTTGTGAGGACTTGTAAAGAACTTGCGAGGACTTATAAAAAACTTGCGAGGACTTATAAAGGATTTATGCATGGATAAGAGTGAGAATCTCGGACAGTCACACTGGAACCTCTCGACCGTATAATCATGTCCATCACGGAAAGCGATCGGGCCCATTCGACTGCGCATGCGATGCAACGGCCTTGTCCTAGTTAGCAAACTTCAGCACATGGGGGTTGCAGACCACTGCACTTTGAGTTAATTAGAACACGGGGCTGGCGTGCGATGGATTTTTCTCGGGAGAAAGGAAGGGGGGATATCATAAACAAGTGTAATTTCCCGCCAGCTTCCATTTCCCGACACATCAGTTTACATGGTGCACGTGTAGTGTCAGCCATGTCGAGGCATTTAATCTGATCTGGGGTGGGCTCGATACAACAAAATATGGTGAACTATTTCCTTGTGGTGACGTCCACCCATTCCAGATCCTTCTCGAATCCCAACATCGCACCTGACGTAATACCCCACCGTTCTCCTTGTCTGAGAAAAAAAAACAGCGCACTGGAACCCGTGTCTCAGTTAAAACAAATTAAACTGATCTGATCTCTGGTTCGTGTCCCTCCGAAAATGAACACGGACATCCATGAACCACCAAGTGTCCTGACCTGATGCGACATCAAAATTACTGCATGAACGATGATTACGCCCAACCCAGGTCATTAAAACCAGTAGTTCGAATATTGTTGCCCAAGGCATCCCATGCATCTTCAGCGATCTTGAAACTAGGCTTCAACCAGCAGATCATTTTCTCAGCACTTTCACAAGTCGTTTAGGGGAGTAGAAGTCGGTTGTCTCTGCGTAGAGCATAAAAATTAGGTCGTACCTGAGGTACCCTGCACATCTGGCCCACAATTTGTTACAGTCCAAAACCACCGTCACGAATCTTATAAATGGCCATATTCACAAGTCGGCCATATTGGGTTGCAGGTGGCGTTAACTTGTTTTGGAACCTGAAAATAAAACTGATAGCACTGAAAAAAAACTTCATTACAAGTTAATTCACTTCATGAAGGATTTAAATTTTGTGATATGTTACATATCTTAAATGTTTTACGCAACGTTTAGAAATAAATGAAACGCAGGCGTGGAACCCACAATAGTCTGGCACCACCCCTTTTAACGGGTTACATAGAATAAGATAAACTCAGTGAACATGACCAGAAATGGCTTCCTTGTGAATAAAATATATTCAAAGGCTTATCCAAAGATGTCAAAGTGTGCTATAACCGAGGAACTAAGTCGCAACTGGTGCGATCTCAAATTCAACGAGTCATGCCCAAGTAAGAATTGGCCATACAAGGATGAATGCTGCACGCAACTGTGCGATCCCTGAACGAATCATATTCACTGAGTGTGCCTCAAAACGCACGTTGCTACAGTAGGCCTATTTTATACCTTAGGTTTCAAATACCACCCAAAGATTTATAATTATTACTTCAATTGGCAAGTCCACTGTTTAACGTTGTTGGAACTTTACCAAGGTATATCAGATTCAAAAATTTCCACCAGCCGGCCTACATACAGACAGTGTACAGGCAGTGGTTACTACAAACGGGGTCACCAGCGGTCATCCCTGAGCCTCATCCGACAACACCTCCACGGCTGACTGAACATTTCCGGATTACCAAGCCTTATTAATTACAACTTAATGATAATCACCTTGGCCCTCCTTCCCAATTAATACATGGGCGGCGACAAAAAGAGAGGAAACCAGAAACAAGCCACAACAAAGCGCAGCGCCACTCGTCGTCTGTCACAAGGCACTAAACAAGCATGACTTTAGGGTTAGATCATCGATGGATATGAACCGCACTGTGTGTATTACACATGTACACTCAGCCAGGCGATCTAGACCGCGCGTACTGCATTGATGCACAATTACGCACCGCACTTCATATGAGAGGAACCGGCAGACTCGTCAAATTAAACGCCACTGTTGTCTCTCTCCCTGGAGAGATATTTCTGTCTCAAAATAGCGACTCGGAGTGTCAAACTCTTGAGATTTATCCCCCGAGAAGAATCCTAGGTTGGGACTTAGAAAAGTCTACGTCTATTTTGGAACAAAAGCCTGTCAATAAGTTGGGCGCGTTTGCAAAACGACAGCACGGACTACGCAAATTCTTATCAAATAGTACAAAATGTTTTCATTTCAATTTATTTAAGTTGGTTTAGGAGTATTTTGTGCCGTGGTTTGATGAAGTTAACGCTAGAGTCACAAGGGTGTATTTGACACATTTTTCAAGGTCGTGTCGTGAATGGCGCCACACCGTACAAGTCTGGACCCATCGCACGGTATGATTATGCATGTTATTTAAACTCTGCTAAGAGACAGATTGATTAATCGGCTGAGAAAGCAAAAGGGCAGGTCGTTAAACGACTCGGGGTCGAGCAATATCTTGCATGTAAAAAAGGTTATTGATTGGGGTAAGAAACACAAACGCACGCACGAGTCATGTGATCGCACACGATCGGTTTATGGTCAAGTTGCCGACTGCTCAGAGGTGAAGAAGTTTCCAAACGTGGTCTTTCCTTGCCCCTATAATGTCCAAAGTAAGGACTTATCGATCCCATTTATCCACTGCCCTTCGACACTTAGGCTCTGCATTGTCCAGTGACCCCAGGCTCACAATACTGTCCGGGCTAGTAGATGAAGCATTGAAGTGGTGAATTACTGTATGTGTACTCGTATAACGACCGACATGAGCACAGTTCTTATTCCCGGCGAACGAGTGACGCGTTTGCAATGAATAATATTTTGGATAATAAACAGACCCTCCGTCTTATTTTTCATAGGGCCATTGGCTGACAGCCCGTTAATAACACCCGTTTATGTAACAATTTAATAGAACCAAAATGGCGGCCCTATTGTTAAGAGCAATATGCAATTTTATGGTTTATTAACGTTGAACCACCACCTTCGGGAGTAAAATATGCACCCTTAATTCCCTCCAAACACAGAGCAAGGAACTCCAAAAGAGGCCACGTCTGCTTAGCATTTTGGAATTAAAGTTATGTTACATCTACATGTATTATGCATGAAGTTCGAAGAACGGCGTGTGAACGGGGTTAGCATATAAGTGCAAGATTGTGGCTCTATGTACATGTACAATCATACATGTACATGTACAATGTATACTACATGTACATGTACATTTGAGTCATGTACAACTGTCAAAGATCGGTGACACGTTTCAGAGGACCCTTCAGCTTACCGGAAATAAACGCCAGTAGCATAACAATAGACGGAATCCCCTCTCTGGCAGCAGGGTGACGTCATTGAGTGTAGCAACGCGCAGGCTGCTGACTTGGTAGCATGGAATGCCAAATAGGATATCGCAGAGCGGTAGCGGTGACCAGCCAGTGCAGCGGGGAGCACCTGATCCTATATAACGGCGGAGAGTTTGCTGTTGCAGTCAGAATTTGCCATAGCGCCAAAGAGGGAACACCGGTGACTCGAAACCCGAAAAGCGGAGATTTACAGTGTTTGTGTCTATATTTTGCCAACCACCCGTATTTATTGTAACTTAATCCGTCTGCTTACACACAGAGCCATGGATGCGATCACAAGAACGAGTCTCTACAAACGCACTCAAGGTAAAAATCTCTTAACTTTTCTTGCATCTCAGTGTAGAGATTTTGATCACCTGCAATGGACTTTGAGCTTGATTAGTTCATGGAATTCCTCCATGCTTATTTGCTGTCGTCCACATGTCCCTGTCTCTCCACACTTGGAATTATAGGCCTGTAATATTTCCATAAACACTTTCTTGCATTGTACGTGTTACGCACGCGCCGGCAAGGAATCACCTACAGGTAACCACTCTTGCAGTGCCGAATTTTAGGCAGGAAAAGCGGACAGTTATATCGTTCTCCATATCTCACTACACCAATTTGTAGCAAATAAAATTTCCATTTCTCCAACTGTTTGATATTGGTCAATAGCCACGTGTTCCTATTGCAACTAAAATCTGTCATTATGGAACTTTGGAATCTCCCCCAAAAGTTATTTCGTCATTTCTACCCTCAAATATTTACATAGCCTTTAGCACAGTCGTATTGTGCTTTGTTCGACATCCAATCCAAAGTCCTCTGTCCACGTCGGAAGTGATCAGAAAGGGTTGATATGGTTACAGTTGGTGGCTGCGGAACATTTTCGCTATGACAAAAACTTGGGCGGCGGACCGGTGGTACACAATTAGTGACAGGTAGGTCGGTCCCAAGGCCACAGGGCGCTTGCAGGAATGCCATATTGCGCAATCACTACCAGCGCTGAAAATGGGTGCGTGCATGCGTGGCGCGGCGGTACCGGTGTCCTATGTGTACGTCGGGGAACACTGCGATCAAAGTACCGCTAATCTGGAGAGAAAAAATGCTTGCATCACAGACATGCTATGAGCTGGTGCCCAAACACGCGCCTGCCATGCCATCGTCTCCAAGAGAGCGTTGGTATTGGCCCGTCATAACGAGTACTAACAGAGAGAAAGTCCTTCCTCTACGGCCGTGCTCGAATCACTAGGCAACGGCTGGAAATTATACGGCACGAGTCTATGGCAGTGGCCGCGGCCAGTTCTCATTTAGTCTTGTGTAAATTCCGCCCGAAGCCAAGTAATTCGTACACGGCCGTACTAAACCAAAGCTGTGTGAGCCTAGGCCCATTCGCAAAACATTTTGCAGCTCGTATTTTGACTTATGCATGCAGCCTATCTAATCGAGTTCACACTTCCAAAAATGTTCTCGAAGATTAAAGTGAAAATAAAAGAAAGAACCGCTGTGCACATGCGCTCACTTTTCAGTGTCATTGCATCAGGTGCAATTCAGTGTACATGTTAATCAAACATGCAGAGGTAGATGGCGTTGCGAAAATAAGCAGTGTAAAACTACTCGACAGAAACGGCATGTTCGCTCTTGTTATACGGTATGCGAGCATTGTTAGTGTACAATGCCAATCGCATGAAAAAACCAGGAACACTTTCGTTTTAAAAAGGCACCCTCATGCGGTCTGCCGTTTACTCACACAATCTATAAAATGGTATCGTTGGTTTTGTGACATTATAACGCAGGACATAGCAAAGAACAAAAAAAAAAGAGCGCGCGTGCCCTGCAAGTTGATTGTTCGCGCTGACAACGAGGCGCATTGTATTTTCCACCGGTGATGTGACCCGGATATTCCGGGCCTAGCGTATATTTTATTCAGCGCAGCTACGCTTGCACGTGGACCCAAGTCAATGACGCTCACGTTGGACCACTATTATCAACGGTGCTCAGCCAGGCGAGGAGTGGATTTAGAGAAGCATATGCAATCCACTCGCTTGAGCCTGGTCGACACTACGCATACCGCAGTGTTTGATGTTAAAATTATTTATAGTGCTGTTTCCACGAAATCCGCTCAGAGATTAGATTCGGTTGCGTACGAACGGTTATTCCCCGTGTATTGTGTAAGCACATACCAAATATGGTTGTAGAATTAATTTGACTACCCAGAAGAATTTAAAGAATCGACAACGATGAGATTGTTTGACATGTTCTTTGAAAAGACTTTATTGCTCCTCTCTCCAATCTACAGGACTCCTTCCCAGTCTGTTTCTGTCTACACTCGTGGCACTGTGCGTGTCGACGCCTATACCGCCGCAGGATACACATCCTTGGCACCACTACGACCGGCTGGTGAGAGACACGCGTGTTCTCGATAGGCACCATCACAACCTGTACACGAGCTTCGTAAGTTTCCCAAATAAATGAAATCGCCACTTTGGTAAATTTTTTTTCGCTGGCCACACCCACAAGCAAACAAAAAACAAAAACCAAACGCGCGGAAGGTCCTCCGGTTCTATTTTGAACGACAACGTGCGAATGGGCTATCTGTCATATTTATATACAGTAATTCAAATATGGTCTTAGTACAGTTCCACTCACTCGACAAGAATGTCAACATCACCATGATAACAATGATTCAACGTGATCCTGCACTTCCGACTTCATTCAAGTGGATTGTTGAACAGTGGGTAGTCGGGCGAGAGGCGTCGGTTCGTGCGCCAGCTCAACCGGCGGGGGATTCCCCAACCGACAGCCAAGCGTAATCTTTTGTAATCTTAAGAAAACAGCCACACAGTGAATTTCATAACTATTAAAGTCTGCACGAATTGTGAACAACGAAGGTAGCAGATTTGGGGCGTTTGCAAAATGAATACAAATGTGCTATTACAAAAAAATGCATGTATTAGAGAGCTTCTATTTACGTTATTTTTCTTTTAATGTACAGAAAACCATTCGGCACGGCGACGCCTCAATCAGGCTAGATGACTTCACAATCAGCGGGGTCCCCAGCGTGAACGACCTCCCTTCACCCGTCGACAGATACGCTATGGTGGTGAGTGCTTCTTTTCTTTGATTCGTAAATTTGATCTGGCCCCATTACACCGACACTGTTGGTCAATGTGGATTACGGCAAAACGGCGGCACCAGACCAAAGCTGTAATATTTACCGCCCTCTTTATCTGTTCACCTCGTTCCCGCAGGAGAGCGAGCTTCTGCCCATCCATTACACGCAGCTAGAGGCTTTTGAGCAGATCTTGGCACAAGCAATAGAGGACGAGTTCACACTCAGAATGGCTGGGGAGGAGAACTTCTACAACTCCATGAGGACCGTCCTTACACTTTTACAGCGAGTCGTGTCAAAATTAAGGCAAACGGTAAGCCGTGTTCAATCTTCCCCACTGAAGAAATGGGCTAATTATAAAAGACTAAATTATTCTACGAATGGAATCTGTAATTTATTAATGTCGGACCAGTCCGTCGACTTCATAAGTTAACTCTAGAAAAGTAGAAATTGATTAAATTGAAACGAAAGGAAAGTCTTAATGACATTAGTATCATGCAGCGAGACGAAGACACGATTTTTTAGTAACAACTTAAAGACGATGGGGTGTTACGGAGAGTTATTTCACGTGAGCTTTCTGAATTGCTGGAATTGTTGCCAACAAGGTTGGCAGTTGATAATTTGTTACCTCTCAACTGTTCCCCTTACAACTACAGATGATAGCTCTGGATATTGACCACGATTTCAACACCACCTCGACCGTTACCTTCTCCAACAACCAACAACATTCCTTCTTGAACATGAGGATTCTTTTCATCCTGCAAGAGTTCAGTGCCAACCTGGCTCCCGCCCTCGAGGACTTTGTCAACTTCATGGGCACGCATACGCAGCCGTCGTCGTAGCAATCCGGAGAGTACGGTATAAACTCTAAAAAGCCCGCCAATTCTAAGGGGGAGGAAACAGTTCGCAGCCCGTGGTTAGCGGAAAGTACCCCCCTTAATGTTTCTATGCAATATACTGAAATCGGTCGGTAAAGGCCCGTTCCCATTATCCAGCGTGGACAGTGATATTCGTAAGGTGATATTCGCCATTTTTTTGTCGCACTTTGAATTCCGTCACTTTTCTACTTAAAAACCTTTATGGCTGTTGCTGGAAATTAATAACCAAATATGGATCAAAATGGTTTCAATATTCAGGCAATGGTTTGAAAAGAAAAGAACTTTAAAAAGAAAGTCACATTACTCAGAGTTAAAGACTGTCAATCTTACAATGATGTTCGTTTAGGATTTCCAGAGTCTGGTGTTTTTGCCTTGATTGAGGGAGTTTCCATTATTGTCTACACGGCATTGATTGTGCCCTAATTAATAATCTGCTGGAAATGGGTCGCGGGAATTTCTAACATGAATTTCGTTTCCGATTCAATCATTCACAATTTATTGTATTCAGAACGCTATATGCATTTTCATGTCAAGTAAGCACGCGTTATTTATGCATTAATTTATTCATATTTTGTGCCTCAAGCATTGTACTTAATATGGTATTTATTTTTCCGTCAGAAATTTGAGGAGATTTAAAGATGGGACCAGAAACAGCAGTACTGTTTTTGCCGTTTAATTAGCATAGTATTTATTACAAATTAATTTATTTCGTATTTATAGCTGGAGTAGATGTGCTTGAACATGTATATTTATACTGAAAAGTCGCCTTAAATTGAGCAGGGAAGTTATAATTTAAGCCTTGTAAAACTTTCCATAAATGGACACAACTACATGTTCAAGCCATCCGCCAGTAATACTATTGCTCACGGAAGGCCTTTCTGTAAGATATTGTGTAACATTTCTGAAGGCATATTATAGCAGTGTAAATAATTATTTAATATTTTTATATTAGTATTTAAAGCGGTCTATACTATTTTTAACGTCATGATGGCAGCTGGTGCTGTTGTTGCGAAAACTTTACCAATAATCAATGTCTCAGCGAACAAATGAACGTACACTTTTCCCACGCATCAATGGCAATGGATCAATTACCAATTTCATTATCAACGGGGACTTTTATCTTTGGATAATGAATACCATATTTCTGATACACGTGTCTGGTTTGGATTCTGATTGTTAACGAACGCGTATGACCAAGGGAAAACAGATACGCAAAAAAAACCCCATAAAGATGAATGATTTGAAAAGGTCACTCCATCCAGTGAGTGAAGTGAATGAAGATCGAATGGCAAATGAATACCATGCTAGTTGTTTTTTGTGTGGGTCTTAATGGTCACTTTAATTAATTTATTTATGCCCAGTCAATAAAACAAAAGCGGTCTCGGTTGACAGGTAAATCCCAGAGATGTTGTCTTTGTGTTTTGTGCACTCGGCCGGCAATGATTTTGATGCATTGAAATTAAGATGAAGAAAAGTACTCGTCTCAAAAAATTACGTTGGACGTATTTTTTGGCCGAAAGTGTTTCTCATCCAAGTACACTATCGTTTTCAGTCATCGGTAATCTTTCCACATACTGTACAGCGAATACATGAGCAGGAACGTAAGCCAAGGTTCATACTCAGAATGCTTTTAGCGAGAAGAGGGGAGAGCTATACTGTCCGTGCTGAAGTTTTCCCAAAGTTTCCGACATTTTTCAGGTTGGACATTGAGGCTTCAATTGACAATATTTACGAGTCGGCCATATTGAATTGGAAGCGAGGCGAACTTTTTTTGTACAAATAAAAATACGAATAAAAATGAAAGCAATGAAATAAAAGTTCAACACAAACCGACTTTATTTATGATGATGAATAATGTAAACATTTGTGATTGATTGTACTAACTGTTTTCACGCAACATTAAAAGATGAAAGCGAGACATGGAACCCAAAATAGTCGGGCACTACTTCATTTGGAGGATTACACTGAATAAGATTGGCTACTCTCCGAATAAGGTCTATTGGAACTTCTCACTACAGTCCCAGTGAATGTCATTAGAAGGGCATATATTCCGAGATTTGAAATAGAAGCAAACTGAACTCTATGTTCACAGCTTGGCAAATCATGGGATAACTGGCACAGACTTCATGTATATAATATGGGCATTGTGTGTATCATATTCACTGCATACGTATTTTATGCGGAACTTGTGAGCTTGCTATTTAATATTAAAAGGGATATAAAAATGATAATGTTGTTTTTAATGGTGGGGGAAACGATGACATTCTCACGAGTACGGTACGACTGGGTTGGACATGCGCATGACATTATGCATGCTCGAGCTAAACTTTAGCTAAGACACGGGTTTGAGAGTCGCGAGTGATAGCAAAAACGGAGGGCGGCACCAGACTATGAGTGGTCCTCTGATAAAGCACCAAGGGTGTTAAATGGACACCAGTTTAACACTGCAGATTGTAAAGGTAAGAGCGGCGGGTCATGTGGGGGGGGGGGAGTTCGGTACAAGTGCTTCCCAAGAGAAGTCTGTGCCCGGAGCGCACCTCCTCTACGGACGTCATATAAAAAAAATTGTACTCACAATGCCTTGCAATGCCCACATAGGTCATCGAAGCCAGTGTCAGCCATCTTACCGTGCCCAATACAAAGGTAACACGGTAACACAAAGGCTTGCTAGCCGTTGTTAACCAAATTGCTCGTGGCATCAATAGTTGTAATGGCACGTAAGCCAACAATACTCTTGCTACATGTATTCGGCACGGTAAGATGGTCGCCGGTGGCGTCAGTTGCAACAAGAGCAATGCAAGTTTAGTCTTGTTGTTTTGCGTTTCGTGTTTTTTGTGTGTTTTTTTCCATTATGACGTTCGTGTCCCCTGACTTTAAATCTTGAAATGCACACCCAACCATGTACAAGCCACAGTTAATTTGCTTTCAGTGCCCACTGATATAATGTGTATCTCCCAGGTTTCTCCTCGGAGATGTTCAGAAGGCAAAAACCATATTTTCTCTGGTCTGTTCATACCTATCCGTTCACAAGATAAATACATCTATAAAATCAACAAATATAAGACAAATATACAGCGAATATGAAAACGACTCCCGCGGCAAGCTTTCAAGTTTCGTTAAGCTGATGCCTTGGGTACGCATAGCCCCACCGTGGACCTTTTTTAACTAGGGTGAAAAAAATGGAGTGAGGGCGCACTTGCCATTTACTGTGGACAGAAGCGGACTGATTGTTTCGTTGATAGCCAAGACAAGTGCGAACCGGGGGGGGGGGGAACTTGGACGTTCGCGTGAAACACCGTGGCATTGGCAGAAGACAGCGATTTCCTTGGTTTCCGATTTCGGTTGGTTAGATTTGCAATCATACCAAAGACAAACCCCAGGCTCCGGCATACAAATATTGTTTTCAAGATGTATTTTTTATTTTTTTTTTTTTTTGGCGTTGGGGAGATGTTAATTATATAACGGTTCGCCCGTACCCAACGTATATATCAATAAGCACTGTATGCTCAGTGCTTGTCCGAGAGCTTGCGAAAAAAACCTCACAAGCTTACTCGGGTGGGACTCGACCACTCGACCACCGAGCTTGCCGGGGTCGGCTGGCCGGTCCGAGTCAAATGAAGCAGCGGGTACCGCGAACCATTTTCAAGATGCATACAAATATTGATCAAACAATAAACGGTTAACAAGTGGTAAGCGATCAGTGGCGCAGAGTAAGGATCAGTGGCGCACAGCGCACGTTTTGCGGTATTATTTAATTCAAATCAAAGTGTTACTTTTCCCAGCGCAAATGAGAGAGAACAGTCACAGCCGTGCGTGCATGCGACAAGAGCGGCATGGCGTGCACGTGGCAGCCGCTCCGAAAGTCTGTGTGTACGATTCGATACAAACACTTTCCTCGTCATATCATCGATGTGCAGAGGTGACAGAGTACAGTTGAGACGAAAGCTGATAACAGTGGAAAGAGGGAGCCATGGCAACGGACCACACCTGTTTTACTCTAGGGGGACCGAGTGCCGCACGACAAACACAACACGATTAAGAGACAGGGGGAGGTTCCTGCGGAACCGAAGCTTGTTTGTTTCACTAAAATCTGGTCCTCGATCAGTGATCCCAAAGCCATTAATAAATTATGTGTCCATTAGGCGGGTTCTGGTGTCAGTGAACCATGACGCTTGCCGGTATGCCCGAGCTGCAATGTGCGAGCGCAGGTCGCCGGGGGAGTTAGGCCATGTTCAAAACGGACTCCTGGAACAGCGTCTACACCAGCGTCAAATTTACTGCAGTATTTTGGAAGAAGGCGCAAACTTCGGGCTCAACAGGCCTCTCTCACGGTGTCTACTGTTCGTATGGGCGGCCCGGAAGTGTACAGAAATATCATTCTCTGTTGTGTCCGATTTCACTTCCAAATGTGCATTTGGTCGTTTACTTTTAAGGAACGTCCTAGTTCTGTAGCGGGTGATAACTTTCTAACTTGCAGTTCAATCTTATCACAGTATAACGATCCATAAACAAAATTGATAGTATGATCTACTGGCTAGTAAATGTTTGTATTAGTACCAATGGGACAACGCTCTGATGAAGCAATTCGAGGCACGCACAAAGTAATTGATTGATAATTATGACAAGTAAATGCTGCACATTACCAGTCTCGAATCGACACCAGCTATCGAGACCCAGACGGAGACTGGGACCGGCGAAAAGTGGTCTCGAAAGACCGAGACAGACCTACAGCACTGCAGCTTGTGTTAAGTTTTGTGTTTTGGATTGCTGCGCGGGATTTTTTTCTTTTGGCATTTAATAGTGAAATATTAATTTGATCTGTACTAATGACCAACCACACGTTTACCAGCCACTTGTAGGCAAAATATACGACCGACCGGAGAGAGCAGAGCCTACCGACACGTTTCGGACCACGCGAATGCGCTGGGCGAGGGCGCTGTTCCACAATAACGGTTCGCTCACGACGAGCGAACAACACTGCCAGTCTTACGCCACGTGGGAAATTCATCAAGCACGTTGCGATTCCGCTTTTTTCCCGTAATCACTTTTCCATTGCCTGACAGGAATCCCCATTGGATTGCTGATGAGTGAAGGGCACGTGATTAAAGGCAAGGGGCTCCAAAGAGCAGCCTAAAGCTGGGCGGGGAGTTCTGAACTGTGTGAAAGTTCGGGGAACAGATGACTGCATTCAGGAATCTCTGTCCTCTCGTGGCGTCTGCAGTGCGGTTTATACCGGACGCGAAGCTCACCGCGAGCCTGCGTCCGTTGCGTCGCACGCCCTTCCCGTCCTTCACCTCGCTCGCACGCCGTTCTTTACTGCCGGATGGGGTAGGCCACCAGAAGCAATTTTCACCAGTGAATCGGAACCAATTTGGGCTTCCCGTCTGTTGTTTGGCAGTTTTAACGGGCCCAGCCATCGGGTGCGTTGCTACACACCAAGCTGCAGAGCAGACTCAGAACATGCGCAGAAATATTACCCACCACACTTTCGGGGGTGGGGGCTACAGTAAATCACCCCCCGACACACCCACACACGCACTTTTTTATGGTGAAGAAAAAATTAAAGCAGATTGTGAAGAATTTGTCGGGCTTCCCACCAAACAAATGTACTCAATAGGCCTATCACTCAAAAAAGGCAAGCAATAAAAAAGCCATATATATGCCATTCTAATATTAGATTCTGCACGAATGTGATGCATTATAATTACAGATGTACGTCTGTGTCTGAGTATTGCCCCCATAGTGTCATATGGTGTCACCCACCCGGCTTTTCAAATTTCCATTTCCAGGCAAAGTCACCCCCCACAATTCCCCACCCCCTCCCCCGTTTCAGGCACAAAATCACGCCACTGATCTGCACGGATCTTAAAACGTGCCTTCATACGGTGTCAGTCCGTGCATGATAGGGGTAGATAGCAGTGATGTAGTCAAGTACTTTTGGAGAACCAGGTTCTCTACCACATATTTAACTAGTTAGGTGGGAACAAAGCTGAAGTACATCGGCATTTGATGGTACATGCATGAAGGTACGATTACAAAGCAACATAATAACTTCAGGCCATCAATGTTTGATTAATTAAGATTAACTTTTTAGGACAAAAGTACTCGGCAAGTACTCGGCCGTGTACTTTTCCAGTACTTTTCTCCTTAAAACTTAAATTTGACACAACTGGGAGTGTCTGAAGTCTGACATTTATTTTTTAATCTTACCTTTGCACATTTACCATCAAATGCCTGTGCACTCTGGCTTTATTCCCTCTTACCCAGTTCAGTATTTTGCAGAGAACGTTGGTACTCAGAAAGTACTCGACTACAATATTGGTAGATAGTCCGTGTATATCTTTAAAAGGCGCACCTGTCAACCCAATTATACGGCTGCTGTTCAACATAACGAGCAATATTTTCTTTTTGCCATTTACAAGAAGAAGGGAAAAAAAACAGCTCATCGCTGAGGTCTGTTGGTCGGGGCACGAAGTACTTAACCTCATGCAAGCAAACTTTTGGAAACGTAACCGACAAAAATCCTGAAGAGTGCAGCAAGAAATGTTTTGTGAAATCTTTCTGCGAAGCACAGGGGAAAAAACACAGCTATTTCCTTAAACTTTTATAAATACATTGGTAATGATTTCATGGACAAAACTGCAACTAGATAGATATATCTGATATCGGTAACGGATCTAATAATTCTGCATGAACTGGTTACATATCGATTGATTGATTTGTTGATTTCGGAAAGAGACCGAACTCCTGAAGAATTCAGGGACGGAACTGTTTTTTATCTTTTTTATGCCAAAATAGAAAAAAAACAGTTACCCTTTTCCCCAAAGTTTTAATTAATGAGTAATAGTCTAAACGACGAAGAAGCAAATATTTTTAGTATCAGTTGTGGATTCCGGTTTGCGAGCCACAAACATTATAGATAACCTAGTTACCCATGGATGGGTATAACCTGGTTAATAGATAACCTGGTTACCTATCGATGGGTATAACCTGGTTAATAGATAACCTGGTTACCCATCGATGGGTATAACCTGGTTAATAGATAACCTGGTTACCCATCGATGGGTATAACCTGGTTAATAGATAACCTGGTTTCTACCCATCGATGGGTATAACCTGGTTAATGATACCGCTGTGCCAGTTACTAAACGGACAAGAAGAAAAACGCATCCGGCGACCATGTTGTCGGATTTGCCTGGTAACCCGCGATGCCTAACACACTTATCCCAGGTCAATCCAGTGGTTGACAGAATGGTCGCTTGTGGTCAAACCTGGTTCGTACTGTCGACGAGATGGCCGGGGTCAAGTTTATTGGAATTATTTTCCAAGGGGCCATATTGCGGAAAGTTGTGATACAAGACTTAGAACAGTTTGTTCAAACTTTCACAGAGTACATCCATTTTCGGTGTATGAACGGATTACGGGAGTAAAACCGGAATGCGTGGTTGCGAACAGATGAGTTGGCCTTCAGAAGTACAGCATCAAATTTGGCCTTTAGAACTGGCCTCGAATTTGTCCCTATAATAGTATACTTGGTGTACTAAAACTGCAGCGAGATTTCGCCAGTTAGACAGAATCCAAAATGCTCTCTTTCTTTTTTCAGGACGAACAAAGGAGGTACAGATAAGACCTGATCGGAAACTGGTGAAAATGATAATGGAAAAGTAACATCAGAAGTTGATAGCAAGTTGGGGCCAACACTGGGTTCCGGAAAAAAAAAGCCTTTAGACAGGAAGGACGAGACACGTGTTAATTGACACGTTCCATGCCGAGTGCAGAGATTTTATGACATCACAAAGATGCGGCGGTCCACTGACCTCCAAAACGAACGCCGCACAAGGAATGCCACAATCGTTAACCGTCAGTTTACACGAACTGGTTCCGGAGTGCATGCAACGGGGGACTATCTAGAAGTTTTTTATGTCAGTGTGAATGGATGAGGGTGACGGCAGAAGGAAAATTTGTTCATTTAAGTTTTCTCCTGGCTTAATGTATGCACATACAATGGTCCTTTTTTTTTACAAAGGACCATTAAAAAGAACAAACATAGCGGTATCTATAATTTTACCAAATTTAGCTAAAATAAACGAATACAATGAAGTTTCCTCAAGTTATAACACAATAAATGTTGACACATCCATTGTACATCGAAATTCTATGAAACGCAACAAAATAAAAAATCTAATATATCTACGGACACAAAGGCACTTCACAAAACGGACTCCTTAGAACTAACACAAGTCTATGACATTGTTTCCACGAAATAAAACTTCAGTTAATTTTCCAACAAATATTGATTTTTAGTAAAATGCTAGAATAGTCCACAAGTTTGCAAATGGATAATTCGTGTCAAATGTTACACTTGTAATTTTACACGTATTAACTACGGTTAACTATGGTCCTTGTTCGAGCTTGCCCATAGGTTAATGTGCCATATGCGCGCGCATATTATAATCCCTTTCGTAGTTCACGAAACCTCAAGTTGTTCATTGCACAAACCAGGACTTCTACTTTAGTTCGTGGTTCTGCCGACGATTGTCTTGGCAGAGAACAAGAAGACATGAAGGCAACAGCACGACAGAGGATTCCAGACATTTTAATACAAGCTCTAGGCCTAAACGCGAGACGCAAAACAGTTTCTTCATCCGACTGGCTTTTCCGCCAAAGTGCCCCACGACCTTGAGGTTTTCCGGTCTCGTGAAGGGCGCACTTTCGAAGCGGTCCAAAATCCCCGGGTCGATTACTTGGCCCGTTGAAATTTCGTAAGAGTCCGCCCAACTGCTCTGGTCATCCCCAAGATACGATCGAGCCGACTGGCCGTTTCATTTTCAGTTTCTGCCTAATGGTTAACCTTTTGGATTTTATCTTCCAAGCGTCACTTAAACTCAATGTAAACATTCACGTCACAGCATTCAGTGACTTAATCTTAGACCGACGCTCATTAAAGGACAGGTTTGTTTCACACGGATTCGGATCGGGATAAGGGATCCCAGAGCTGGTTCGCGCTATCCATTAGGTGAGTTCCGGTGTCAGTGAACCAGTGACAGATCAATGATGGCGGTCCGATCCGTGTGAAACAAACTAAGCCTGGCCAGTCTTCGGGTTACACTCCATTTTGTCTGGCTGGACTATTCTCCTCTTGCACAACTTGCCAGTGAGCAACTTTTCAAAGTGCAAACCTCAATAAGTTAGTCACAATAATCATGTCCAGAGAAAGTAGCTGCCTGAACCAGTTAAAACTAAAAAAAAAAAAAAAAAAAAAAAATTAAAACCCACTTTCAAGATTGACATCACAGGACCTTTAATAGACCTCAATCCGTGAAGGATATCCAAAGGTATTCAATGCGTTTCGCACAAGAGATATTTCAGAGTAAAATTAATTTTGTGGACCCCTTTCAATGGGAAGAAATTCCCCCAAAATGACGTATTCGTGCACTGCGGCTTGCACGATCAAATCGAGCAGATGCGTCAGCGCTATTATTTCAGTTTGTTGTCACCTTCCAGGTCTTAAAAGACAACAAGGTTGCTATTATTTTATTGATCCCGTCACTACGTAAACATGAACTCATCCTTCCTGGAAAGAACAAGCAATAAACGCCTAAAATCTGCGCGGAAGCTCGTCAGGGAATTCGAAACAGGGTCACAAAGCAAACATGAAAGGAAAATCAATACATGTACTGGGGAAACTTTTAATACAAAAAAATTAAATAATATTACAACTGTTATTTCCTGATTGGTCACCGATAAAATGGACAAGGTATACGCTAGAACCATTACGGGGCATTGAGCAAGTCATTCGTGGTGGAATAAAAAATCCCTACAAGCCCCATTGAAAGGTGAGAAAGTTCAGTATATTTCAACATTCTCAAATCAAAGTGTGTCTTTAATAGGTCAATCGGGAACGTCAACAGGGCACGCGGGGGCGACCTTACAACCCTAGCAGTGCGCCGACCCGGCCGCCGACTCTCCGAACCAGCTTGGTATTCAAACGACCCAGCCCTCTCGAAACATAATGCCGAACTGTCTGATTCGTCTAGCAACGTGAACACACTCAAAAATAAGCAATAAATAATACAATAAACCCCTCAACATCTACACACAATACAGCTTTTGAGGGTGCTGAAGTCCCTTCCACCAATTTGGCCCTTTTAATAGGCATGAAAGGGAGTTCGAACAGTGGTGATGGGGAATGAGGAATCGAAGTGGTTCAACTGGGCAACTGGGTGGGGGGGGCTAGAATTAGTCCATCGCGTTCCTCAGTGATACGCGAGGGTTATTAACCCACACACTACTCATTTTCATGACAAATCCCAGTTTGGTTAACTCTCTTTATGACTGCAAATACGACGGCAGCATCCGGGGTGTCGCGTTTATCATTCAAAAGGAATGAGGTTATCATAAACATTCTATATCATATTATTATTTTGTAAACTCCCGATGCATTATTTGTAGCAATTGCAAATGTAACCGGTACGTTTATGGAGAATAAAGGATGTGTTCAAACGAACCGGATCGGTTAACCCCAAGGCTGAGTGTTGGTTGATTTTTAATATAAGGTGTTACCCCCCAAAATCAAACGGTTCCCTGACTCGGGTTCCGCGTATACGGACAAAAACTTTCCATACCTGAAAGAGTGTGACTAAAAACAGCGGGAGGATATGACGATTAAGTTTCGAAAATTACAAGAGAAAAGGGGAAAAGAAGGGCGGGGCAATTTCAGATGATTTTTCTGTAATTTGAAATCTCATCCTTCTGGACACACGGCCTTTCCAAAAAATAAAAGACATGTTCTAAAAAATTATTTGTAAGGCGTTCGATGCACATAGGAAACGTATTCAATAAAGAAAAGGGTCAAACGGCCAGAAGAAACTAGAACCTCGGCTTTTTTATGTCAATTTTATTAACTCGTCCGAAGGAAAGGACAAAGCAATGATGACTTTAAGTGCAAGCCCCTTTGCGTGTAAAATGAAGGATGCATAAACGTTTCCGCGTCACGTCATTCTGTGCTTCCTCTCTGACTTGCAAAAGTTCTGGTGGAGCAGAATCCGGGGAAAGTTCTATCCCTCTTGTACTTTCTCTCCTTTATTTTTCGCGGTTTTAAGGTGAATTCTTGGGGTCTGAATACGTCATCCGATCCGGCTGGTACCTCATAGAGCATTCGACGGGTATAGCACCCTGGACAGGCGGGAAGGATTCCCTGCCTATAAAAAAGCAGGCACTTTTCAGGAGCACCACAGTAACCGTACAGGGTCAAAATTCCACGGCAACTCGCGGTAATAATTGTCAGATTTTGTAACTTAGATCACGTGCGCAACTAGTTTCACAGCAAGATAAGCAGCACAGTGCAATCGGTACACAGATATACACATTTTTTCTCAGCCGAAACATGTATCCAGCCAGGTTTTCTATCTGTTTGTTCGCTTTTGCCTCGCTGTGCGTATTCATGGGACCATCCGCAGCACTACCTCTCCAGCAATTCCTGAAGTTGCACCGTCCGTCCAGAAGTGTCAGTGCGCTTCAGAGGCACACCTCGCATTTGGCCAACGAGGCAACGATTGTGAAAGGCTCGACCGACACGCTTCATGAAAATTACGTGAGTATTCGCTCTTCGCACGCTGCCGCCACAGGCATGCAAAGCCTTGATCAGGCAGCTTTTCACAATAATTGTAGCCGGCGGTTCAGTGACTCCTGTGTATCTTGCTTGTAAATGTAATTTTGCGTTAGTTCTTACAGGCCTACCATGCGATTGGACAAAGCGATTCTGGCGCGATTTGTACAAGTTGCCAGTTCGAGGCTCTGCATGCCTATGGCGGCAGCGTGCAGAGAGCGACTTACGCGAATATATAAGACTGTATTCAGATTAGACGCCGTAACTGCGGTGGCACCGCACTCACAAGTACATTCTTTAGCTTGATGCGCGTGTGCATGTCACAATTCATGACACCCAATTGGTCGAAGAGGCACACAACGCGCGCGTACCGCCTATTCGAGCGTTGAGATTGTATCAATCAATGCCCAATGCAGAACATGCCAACCGTGCAAGTACACGCAAACGCGAGTCCCCCCCCCCATCCCAAGGAACGTCGTTCTGTTCCCAAAGGAATATTTGTTGCAACTTCGTCTGTGAGAGGAACGCATCTGACAGCGGGCACCCGGGGAAAATGCCGCAAAGCGTCCTTCACTATAGAGGGTTTGCGTGGCTGCCATCTTTTAGGCCAGTGCTTTTGTTTTACAGAATTTTCACAAAGAAGGTTTCCCTCTTGGAAAAAACAGAACTGGCCTGCAAAATGGCACCACGCACCGAAGCGTGACATCACTGCGCACCAGAAAGCGCAGTGCAAATATGGAATGCGTACGCGTTCCTTCACTAGATCGCCAAAGGCTTGCTGGGAGCCAACGTGGCGCGGCAAGATCGTACCCATGGGGAGAGGTTGGTGCAGTGCAAACGAACTGAGTACGCGCGCGTGTTGGTTCACGCGCTGGATCTCGCGCTAATAATTTTAAACACCTAACTGTGCGTGTGACATATTCACTTCGGTACTCTATACAGGTTTCTCACGTGACGTAACAGAACGGGCAAAGACACTTCAGAAAGCGTACCATGAGGCGCGTGCATTTTCGAATTTGTGTAATTCTATTGGCGGATTCATATACGTCAGAATGTTGGGAGACTTCGAAGGTGCGCGCGTTTCCGCGTACATCTGTGTAAAAATTGAACGCTGACCATCCAAAACCACGTGATTGAAAAATCCTCTATAGCGGCCAAGCTTTGCGGCTTTGTTGTTGAGGGGCACAGTTAAACCCACGTTACTCTAACTGTGTCAGACCAAAGCTAATCCCTTAGATTCACGATTCAGCACATTCTGTGAATAAACTACTAACATTACGTTTTGGCTGCCTGCTAAAAACTCGAACGACGCACATAATTAGATTCTGCGCGCACATGCCATGCATTAAGTGACAGCATCTTATGATACTGCATCAAGCATTTGAATAAAAGTAGCTTATCTAAGTACTCGGTGTTGGGGGCGATGGAAACTGCAGCACTGCAAGGGCGTCCTCTTGGTTGCCATGCTTCTCGGAAAGTGGTGTAGCTTATTATGACTCATGCATTAATTGTTGTTTGTCCGAAAACAGATGAATGATCGCTTTGGACAAACCACCATAGTCCGTACCCAGGATTTAACAGCGCCCTCTTTAACTTTGCCCGGCACTTACGCAGTGGACGCAAATCATATCTCGGTAAGTTACCACATTTATATGGTTTGGGATTTAGCAGAGCCGCTTACTTCCACGTGGTATTTTAGTGCACACAATCCCTGAGCTATTTGAAATATTTGACTCAAACACCGGGGGGCTCAGAAGTATTCTGGACAGCGCTTAGTTCCAGTATATCGCCAGCTATTGATTCGAACGTAGCCATGCCAGATTTCCTTTTGGACAGAATACTATGAAAAACTGTAGCAGACGAAATGGAAGAAGTTCTTCCCACGGGAAATCACTGCTTTGTGAAACAGCGCCCCCTCCTGAACATGCACCATTTAATTCACGAGATTAATGTTGTTTTGCCTCTGAACACAGGACAGCGAGATTGCCGAACGGCATTACGATAACTTGGTCTGCTACAAGCAAGTGCTGATTAAGGTCAACGCGACAGAGCCAACGCACTCGAGCAGTATAAACGACGTTATCCAGAAAGTGAAACTCCTGATCGCAAGGCTCACAGAAGTGGTAAGCGTCATTAAACAGGGCCCTTCTCTTTCCTGCCTACCCGCGGCTGGTAAATCTACAGCTGGCCGTCAGTACAGAAATACATGTAGAATAAAAGTTGTACTTCACAAAAGGAGTTTAGAACTTTGATCTCACGCAAACCTCTTCGCTATGTTGCACCCTTTTATATTTTATCCTTCGCCATTTTGCATCCTTACTCGGTGCGTTCTCACGGGTGTGTACATCCTACGCCCCCGGCATTCTTTAACCATTCTACACCAAAGCTAGTTATCGTCACCATGCAGGCTCGTAGGACTGCTTAGTTCTCGCTGAAGATGTTCGCCAAGTCTGAGCTAAAAGCCCAACCGACAACCCAACGGCCAATCAAGCCGTCTTCAGCACCGCAGAGCGAAGTTCACTAAGCCTCACACTTTCCCGCCTTTTTCCCCCCCGTATGTTTGCACACAGCGTGAGTTGTTCAACCAGTCGTCCGCCGACCCCCAGCCTTGCTCCTCGGACACCTTCGATCAGAACACAGAGAGGGACCAGCGAACCCTGTACGTCCTGCAAGAGTTCATCGCCTACATGTACCAAGTGGCCAGCGACTTCGGCGTTCTCTCTAGCCACTACCAATAGCGCACGCCAGACCTTCGGTTCTCACGACAAGACGACAGCAGGAAGATCTTCTCGTTTGTAGTAGAGTAACTTCAAATTCCAACCTGATGCGGAGTTGGGATTTAAAACAGCGAATAAGTTTACTATAACAGCGCACCCTGCAGCCCAGTACTGGTATAAATTCTGTTTAGGTGTTATTCAGATAAAGTACTTCTGAAATCTCCGTTGTTGCCTTTAGGAAAAAATGTCCATCATGATTGCTACAAGCTTAAAAATTCATTGTCTCTTATTTTGAAAAGAAATGTGTACATCTATTTTAATGTATCTAATATTTATACCTTTTCCTATTAACTTATTGTATGAGTATTATATTACATACATTCCTTAAAATGATTCTTTTTAACTTATTTATTTATGTCCAAATCATAAATACACAAATTATATCTATTGTTTAATTGTAACGGTGTGTGTAGAATTTAACAAACTTGCAATAAAGTGTCAAGCGGAATACTTGTTTCAAAAAAGGAAGAGAGTTTTATGATGCAATGTTCCACTGATCAGCAATCTGTCAATCCATCATATAATGCGGGCCATCATGACTGATACAAGCTTTAAAAAATTCAATGGCTCTTCTTTTGAAAAGAAATATACGTTCATCTGTTTTAATATATTTAATATTGGTATCATTGTCCTAATAACAGATTATATTTATATAGCTATTTATGTCCAAATTATAAATACATAAAATGTATTTATTTATTTATTCGTAACAGTGTGTGCAGAATTAAACAAATTTGCAATAAAGTGTCAAACAGGCCACTGCTTTTAACAAGGAAGAGACTTTCATGGTGCAATGTTCCACTGATCAGCAACATGGCAGTCCATCAGAACTAGCGGGCCATCAGAGATGGCGATCCATCAAAGATGGTCCATGTAAATTTAGAAGACGCCCTCACACAGTAATACTAAAGAATGGATGGGGCAAAGATGCGTTCCCTGTCCTGTGTCCAATGCGTGAAAAGACCGATACTTACGTCACAAACTTTAAAAGTCAAGACCTCTTTCCTGAGGCAGTATGATGAGACCATAGAGCTACATACAAAACACGATCCATTAAGCCTCATAGGAAAGCGCCCATAAAAATTGGTTTATGAGAGCCTGGAGAAAGCGCGAAGAGAGTGCGAAAGAAAAAGATCCGACAAGTCAACTCCCTCATTTCTCCCCCAGTCATTAAAGTCCTGTCCATGCACTTCGATACTGTGCATGGACTATTTGTCGATACCCGTCTACAAGGAATGCAGTAGCGAGAGTTCAGATTGACAGGGGAAAGTTGGGGACTTGACACAGGAATGTTCGATCACAAGACCGATCCTGTACTTTACATGACAATATGACAGACTGCTCCCTGTTTTCTTTGATCCACAATTTGGCCAAGTTTCGAACATCCTGTAGTATCGATTCTTTAGCTTCTTCCCGTAAAGAAGGCCCGTTTATCACGAGTAGCAAACCTCACAAAACGTGCAGGGTCGCGTGATGCCCTCGTTCACTACTGGGTTGCATAAGGAAACTGGTCACACTTGTTCCGAATGAGTATTTTCTTATAAATAGCACGAGCCATTAAAAAACGGTGCGTGGAAATGAACTTTCAATTTCACCAAAACGAAATGTTTTGTTAACCGAGAGAGCATCGGTGCATTTACGTCAAAATTTTGGATGTCATAAAAACGAAGCCTAAATCGAAACAATAATGACGTAAACATTGGAAAGGTCTTTCATTTCTTATGTTTCAAAATAATATGTTTGCCTTCAAAACTGCCTTTTGTTTTTTTGTTAGGTTAGTCATCAATTTCCACAATTATAAATCAGCGTCGCTTCAATATATTCAACCCCTTGTTTCCAAACTTTGTTTTCTTTTTTAAAAAAATCAGGTTTAGGAGGAAATGATGATCGTGGTAGTTTGTTGATTTCTGAAGTGCGAGTTCATTACCAAATAGGTCCAAATTGCCCCGGACATTACTAACAGTACGAGAACTTCCATAAGACGAACCTGTTACTCGGCACCAACAAGGAATGCAAGGAGCACTAGCACCTATGGCCTACGGGACATACGTGTAGTTTGGGCCTACGGAACATTGGTGTACTGGCGCCTGTGCAGGGTAATAGGAGAACTGGTGTCTAGGGTCTATGAAACATTGCTATTCCTGCAAGTCCTACGGAACACTTGAGCCTAATGGAACACTGGTGTACTGGCGCCTGTGCAGGGTAATAGGAGAACTGGTGTCTAGGGTCTATGAAACAATGCTATTCCTGCCTAATGGGCCTTCAGAACACTAATGTCAATAGGGCCTGCAGAACGTTAGTACCTATAGGGCCTACAGAACACTGCCATTAAACATGGAACGCTGGTACCTGGATCCACCAGCGCCAATACGGCCTAAAACAGACTGGTACCTACAGGGCCCACAGAACACTGGCAGGAATACGGACCGCTGGTATCTGGGGCCTAGAACACATACTGCGGCCCTGACCCAAGATCTCGATGCTTACACGCCTTGTGGGACACGTTCAGATAGACTTTAAGTCCCAAGCAGCAGGAACCAAGCAAGAGTAAAGGAAGGAGGGGCGTGTCCTCACTATGCAGTAAGACAACACCCGTGTGTGAGTGCGCCCCCTTGGCAGGTACTATGCGCATGAGAAGGTTACTTTCCACCATCAGGCAAATTTGGTCCTGAAGTGCGTGGACCTGCATGCGCGGTTCCCTACAACATAACGGAATTGCGAGAACGAATATAATGTTAAAATGTGTCATTTCTGGGGTATTTTTGGTATTTTTAACAATTTACTTATTTAAAATTAGTGTGCGGGTTCCACACTAACGGTTGACAGAAAACAATGTGTGATAGGTCGTACACAAGACGCCAAAAAATATGATACCGTTTGTTACCAAGTTTTGATAGCATACTTTACGAGCTTAATACGTATTTCCCCGGTATGCACCCCATGATTCACGGGAGATTCCCTCCGATCGGGGGGGGGGCAAATTTATTCCTGGGAAAAGTGCAAACACTAATTTGAAAACAAAAATGCCCTTGTCTCCCAGAGAAAATAATTTTTGTAATTTCCCCGCCTGTATACTTCAAATTATAAAAGACAATACGGCACTGAGCACACTGACCGCCTGGAGGCGCTCTTCTCGTGGGCTGTTGTGGGGTTGCTAATCAGTTGAAGAAATCGTCAATACGCGACGATAAAATGTCCTCTCTTTAAAGTAGGCTACCAGGAAAAATAACGTATCAAAAGTTGACGTTTTCGGTCCCTGTGCCTGATTCCAAGGGCTTCCTTTTTTCGGGGATTTCTTTCCACTTGTAGAACTGAACCTACAGAACTGCCTTATCTTAATATCATTATCATTGATCGGATTCTGGAAAGACTGTGTCAACTATCGGATCATCCCAATCACAAGACATTGTATTTATTCTTTCTTTCCTATCTATTTCGAAATAAAAATGGCTCCATCGCAAAAGAGGGCCCGACTTCATCCAGGTTCATGGGAACACAATCTATTGCATTCAGTTCACTGCCTCCATCCTTCTGTTCACTTTTTTTTGGGGGGGGGGTGTTACAAAACAATCAAAATGGAGGATGTTGGGTCGGTGAAGTTGGGGTGGTGCAGTCAACAGGCCTATTATGTACTGATGACGTCAAACAATGTTTACGATGCACTATCTTATGGAGAGTGGAGGCCCGTCTACAACAGAGCATCATAGGAAAGCACATGAAACAAAGTGTGGCGTCATCAGTACTGCATAGGTTCACTCGAATCAATTTACTGGCTTTGAAAAAAGTGGCGCCTTTGCAGTTATGGCGCAGTGCGCCCTCAATCTGCAAAATGAGAAATGTCAAGTCACAAGGTTTTCTCGCGAATCATCGCTGTGCATAAAAAAAAATTCACAGCACTTCCTAGGCCCGATTTTTGGGCCTTCAAAGATGGCTGTAATATTAACATTTAGTGTTGCAAGACGCGAAATCAAGTTTAGAACAGAAAATGTATGTGTGGGGTCGACGTCCGACACTTCGTGCAAGATATCCGAGATACGCGACGTGCCCGTGCCGCCCGATCGTGGAGCAGGTCCTGTGAAATCCACAGAGCAGTTTGACGTCGGAAAGGGAAGTGATGCATGCGAAACAACAATACCCCTTTATTGCCGAACAACAGAAGGCTCGAAGCGGTTTGTGACATTTTCTGGCTCTCAGGTGTGAATGAACGTGGCTTCGCAGAGTGCGAAATGGTTCCGATAGGGCCTGCTCCTTTGACGTCACAGTCGCGTTTTTCCTACAAGAGGCTTTAGAGTGGCTGCTAAAACTATGGTTGACCGTCAAAAGTAAAAGAATACTTCACGGAGTCAAAAGTCCCTCGCAGCGGTCCAAATCACTAGATACTAATACACGTACTACAGAATACTAAATGAAAATATCACCCTATTTTCAGGGAACCAGGGCCGTTTTCCAATACTCGACGTCGTCTCCGTCTCAGGCTTCGTTTCCAAAACCAATCCCCGATTGTGGGCCTGAAGCGTTTGAATTACATTGGATTACTGTAATTATTGGCTCTCTTGCGTCTTATTTGATGTTCTGTGGAACTATTCGACTGATTACTGCGCTTACAGCGCCAAAGTCTGCTAGTAAAAGACAGTTGAAGCCTGAGACAGAGCCGAAGTTGAGTATTGGAAAACGGCCCTAAACTCAGCCAAACGTATAGTCTGTTGTAAATATTCTCTGACGACTGCCTCGACCAGTCGAAGGAACTTAACAACGGCTACGTGAAAATTTGTTGGTGGTTTTTTTTTTTATCTTCCTTCTTGAAATTCACGTCGGAAACCCGAGTAAATAAGGTTATTATGCTTGACGCCCAAACGAACGAGAACGCGAAGTCTTGACGGCAGATCAAAATATTCGTGCCGCGAATTTGAAAAAGTTCAACACTTTTCCACCTTAGGCAAATTTCGCTGCAGATGTTTTGTGAAGTCGTTCTTTTTGCTTTTCGCCTGAAGTATGAAGTGGCATGTTCCTAAAAATAAACACTTGAGTTTTATTAATTTCACAGTCAATCAAGCAAAAATCCGCACCTACTGGATGTCTAAACAAAAGCCCAAATGGCCACACAGCATCAAAAGAACTTGCTCACACGATCGCACGCACACAAATGAACAATCTCCCGACAAAAGGGTATATTCACGTGTGAGATTTTCCAGGGGAAAACCCTAAACACCTTCTAAATGAGTGCTGTGCCAATCTCCTCACCCACGTGTAGCGATTAAATCCACTACAAGCGGTGTAGTGAAGCAAATTAACATGCTATAAGGTCTGTCAAATACTATATTAATTCTCCCATTCATACTTCACTGCGATACGCTACGAATTTAGGTCTATTATTAGTTTCCTGAATGGCGAAGAAAGTTTTATCGTCATCGTGTTCGCAAAGTTACAGGAATAATGTCAAAATGATATTTTTTTTCTAAATTCTAGTTATAAGAAGTGGTTTTGCTTTGAAAGTATCAATTTTAAGGTTTCTGGTGTGTTTAAAAGGGCGACACTTCGTTAAAATATATGA